ACTAATAATAAATATATATAAGAAAACAATGCATTATCACAATTATTTCATTACTGTTTTTTTATTCAAAAACTATTTAATTTGATTTTTAAAAAAATGACAAATTAAGCCTTGTATTTTTCACACAAAAATATCAAATATCAACACTTGTCATTTGATAAAAAGATTTTTAAATTAAAAATAAATTGAAAATACAACAGAATATCTAAATTATTTTTCAATTAAAAATATAAAATCTTACAAAATTAGTGGTTGTTCACTGCCTTCAACGGCTGACAATACAACTACCTTTGATTACTCCTCTCACCTATTTTAATCAATTCTAATTTATCTTTAAAAATGATCAGAGCATTATATCTCATGAGTGATTACTTGTGCTTTTCTGGGTAACTCACAGTGACTAAGGTAAATTTTACGAAATTTAAACTCATTTTAATTTTAATTTAATAATTCATTTTTTAATTATTATAATATGTTTTCTAGCAGAGAGATCGTTTCAAATATTATAGAACAAGGTATGATAGAGTGGTTTCCAAAGTATATATACTATTTTAGGGGTGGACATCCGTTGAGTCAGGCAAAAATTGGGCCGGATCGACATTATATAATAAAAGATTTTGTATCAGCTCAAGCTTGGCCAAGCCCTACCATCGGATCTTTATATCTACCCAAGTCCGTCCCAAAAAATAATTATAAATTTCAAACCCACCAATCGAGCTTTATGTTAAAAAAATTAAAACATTTTCACAATTAAATTCAATCATACATTATATTTCTTAAATAAATATACTGATATCATTATAAATCGAAGGATTTTGTGTACAAATTGAAATATTTTTTTAAAATAAATTCAATCACGTATCACAACAAATATGAGTTTCAAATTAACAAAAATAAAATCTAAATTCTAACAAAGATACATATATTTTAATATATTAGAATTAACTAATTAATTTAATAGGTCTGGCCGAGTTGAGTCGAAAGTATAAATCCCAAATCCAGCCATTAATATATCGGGTTGAAAATATTGTTTTAGCCAGGCCCTATGGGCCAAAACAACATTTCTAAATCCTAAAAAATAGAGTCGAGCTGAGTGGGTTGGGTAGGCCAACGGGTCAATGCCCATCCCTATATTATTTCCAATATGCGTTTTAAAACTTCTATAGAAAATTAATGGGATTTTTATTGATAAATCCCATTTAGAAGTATTTTAATCTAAGAAGTCCATGAAGGAATTTTTTAACCCATTTAGTCCCATATATATATAGTTTTGTTCCATAAAATCTTTTTTCTTGATTTACACTATTTTCTTGGACACTTATGCCCTTATATTTAATTTTGATACCCTTATAAATATTTTTTGAACGGTTAGTAATTTTATGATGTGAACATTCATATTTTAAAATTCACATTGGTAGAAATGTAAAATTGGCCCGTGGCCGGCTCGAAACCGGTCCGCGCGTCGGGGCGTTGAAATATTTTTTTAAAATAAATTCAATCACGTATCACAACAAATATGAGTTTCAAATTAACAAAAATAAAATCTAAATTCTAACAAAGATACATATATTTTAATATATTAGAATTAACTAACTAATTTAATAGGTCTGGCCGAGTTGAGTCGAAAGTATAAATCCCAAATCCAGCCATTAATATATCGGGTTGAAAATATTGTTTTAGCCAGGCCCTATGGGCCAAAACAACATTTCTAAATCCTAAAAAATAGAGTCGAGCTGAGTGGGTTGGGTAGGCCAACGGGTCAATGCCCATCCCTATATTATTTCCAATATGCGTTTTAAAAGTTCTATAGAAAATTAATGAGATTTTTATTGATAAATCCCATTTAGAAGTATTTTAATCTAAGAAGTCCATGAAGGAATTTTTTAACCCATTTAGTCCCATATATGTATAGTTTTATTCCATAAAATCTTTTTTCTTGATTTACACTATTTTCTTGGACACTTATGCCCTTATATTTAATTTTGATACCCTTATAAATATTTTTTGAACGGTTAGTAATTTTATGATGTGAACATTCATATTTTAAAATTTACATTGGTAGAAATGTAAAATTGGCCCGTGGCCCGCCCGAAACCGGCCCGCGAGCTGAGGCGGGCCCAACTCGTTAACAATGTGAATATTCACATTGATATGTTAACATTCACATTAATAGTAGTGTAAAATTGACCCGCGTCCCGTGGCGGCATGAAACCCGCCCGCGGTCCATGGACGGCCCGGGGCGGGCCCGGTCCGACCCGTTGACAATGTGAATATTCACATTGACATGTTAACATTCACATTGATAAGAGTATAAAATTGGCCTGCGGCCCATGGGCGGCCAAAAGCCCACCGGCCGCCCGGGGCGGGCCCGGCTCGGCCCGTTGACAATATGAATATTCACATTGACATGTTAACATTCACATTGATAGGAATGTAAAATTAGCCCGCGCCTCGTGGCAGCCCGAAACCCGCCCATGGGCGGCAAAGGGAGAGTCCGACCTGGCCCGTTGACAATGTGAATATTCACATTAACATGTTAACATTCACATTGATAGGAGTGTAAAATTAGTCCACGCCTCGTGGCAGCCCGAAACCCACCCACGGCCCATGGGCGACCCGGGGCGGGCCCGGCCCGGCTTGTTGACAATGTGAATATGCACATTGACATGTTAACATTCACATTGATAAGAGTATAAAATTGGCCCGCGGCCCGTGGCGCAGCCAAAAGCCCGCCTGCTGCCCAGGGCGGCCCGGCCCGGCCCGTTGACAATGTGAATATTCACATTGACATGTTAACATTCACATTGATAAGAGTGTAAAATTGGCCCGCAGCCCGTGGGCGGGCCGAAGCCCGACCCATGACAATGTGAATATTCACATTGACATGTTAACATTAATATTGATAGAGTGTAAAATTTGCCCGCTGCCCGGGGTAGGTCCGGCCCGGCCCGTTGACAATGTGAATATTCACATTGATATGTTGAAATGCACATTGATAGGAATGTAGAATTGGCCCGCAGTCTGTGGGCTGCCTGAAGCCCGCCCACGGCCTGGGGCAGGCTCATTTCGGTCCGGGTCCGAGCATATTCGAGGCCCTAGGTTAGGGCCTAGGTCATCACATTGAAGCCCGGCCCGGCCCATCAACCCGCTTAAGGCCCATTCAAGGCTCGGTCCGAGGCCCAGCCCGCGCCGAGGCGCAATGTATTTTTCGTGAAAAATAATAAAATTTTGGTAAAAAAAATTAAAAAGAATTAAAAAAAATGGCCAGGCCCGCCCAAGCCCGACCTAAGCTCGAGGCTAGGCCCAGGCCCACCGACCCGACCCGAGGCTCGATCCATCGGCCCATCCAAAGCCCGAATACCCTTGTGCCAGGACTAGGGCCTGGGCCTAATTTTTTGGCCCGTGGGTGGCCCAACCCGGCCCGGGAAAGGCTCATTTGGGCCCAGGCTCGAGCCTAGTCCGAGACCCTAGGCTAGGGCCTAGGCCATCACTTTGAAGTCTGGCCCAGCCCATCGGCCCGGTTAAGGCCCATTCAAGGCTCGGTCCGAGGCCCAGCTCGCGCCAAGGCCTAGTGTCTTTTTTTGTGGAAAATAATAAAATTTTGGTAGAAAAAATTAAAAAGAATTTTAAAAAAATGGCCAGGCCCGCCCCGGGATGCCCACGGGCCGTGGGCGGGTTTCGGGCAGCCACGAGGCACAGGTTAATTTTACACTCCTATCAATGTGAATGTTAACATGTCAATGTGAATATTCACATAGTCAACGGGCCGGGCCGAGCCCACCCTGGGCCGCTAGCTAATTTTATACTCTTATCAATGTGAATGTTAACATGTCAATGTGAATATTCACATTGTCAACAGGTCGGGCAGGGCCCGCCCCGGGCCCCCCACGGGCCATGGGCAGTTTCGGGCAGCCACGAGGCGCGGGCTAATTTTACACTCCTATCAATGTAAATGTTAACATGTCAATGTGAATATTCACATTGTCAACGGGCCGAGCCGGGCCCTTCCTAGGCCGTGGGCGGGCTTTTGGCCGCCCATGGGCCACGGGCCAATTTTATACTCTTATTAATGTGAATGTTAATATGTCAATGTGAATATTCACATTGTCAACGAGCCGGACCGGGTCCGCCCCTGGCCGCCCATGGGCTGCGGGCGGGTTTCGCGCCGCCACAGGACGCGGGCCAATTTTACACTCCTATTAATGTGAATGTTAACATGTCAATGTGAATATTCACATTGTCAATGGGTCGGGCCCGCCCCGGCCCGACTCGAATTTTTCCGGGCACCCACGAGGGTCGACATGGGCCGGGCCCCTACACATTGACGATATGAACATTCACATTGACGGTGTGAACAATCACATTAGGGGTATTTTGATAATTATGTCATCCATAGGACTTATTGAAACATAATAAAATAATGTGAACTAAATAGAACATAAGTAGATGAAAATGGTATTTTGGTCTTTTTATTTCAAATAGGACCTAATGGAATAGTCAAAAAGAATATGGGTTGGATAGAATAAAGTTCTTAGAAAGTGAATTTATCAAAAAAGCTTCCAAAATTAATTATTAAATTGTATAAACTTTTAGTGGTTACAATAAAGATAAGAAATTGAAAATAATGGATAAAACAAAAATTAAATTGTATAAACTTTTAGTGGTTACAATAAAGATAAGAAATTGAAAATAATGGATAAAACAAAAATTAAAATCCGAACATAAGGTATTAAACTATTCTCATTTATATTTAAACTTTACATAGGAGATCCAATTAAGGGGAGGGTAAAAGTCATAGGAAGTATGAATACTTTAGATTTTAAATTTAAAAATAGATTTGTAGGAAAAAGAAAAAAGAGGGAAAAAAATATTTCATTCACTTTTACGAATCTAAAATCCAAATTCAATGAAAATTTGAAAAAAGAAAATTATTTTCTCTTTATTTCCATATGTATTTGGTATGAGTAAGCTAATTTCTTTTCTTTTTTTTTGAAATGCAGAGTTCTCAAAGCACTAAATTTGAGTGGCGTTCTCCCCCGAGAATTGGTCAAACTCCCTCATCTCCTAGAATTGTAAGTATTTTTCTTTTCATTATAATGTATCATAAACAATGAATAGTAACTATCTGTTAATTTTTTATGATTGTGTACGTTGATCATTTATAAAAAAAAAAAAATTAATATGATAAGTGTAAAGATTTGATTTAAACACAATTGTCTTAAAAAATAAATTGTTTGTGTTTAACAACAAATGTGATGAAATTATATAACTATAATAATCGAATTAATCTATTTTATTTTTTGTGTGAATAATTTATACAGTATAACTTAAAAAAAATAAGAGGACTGCTAAATGCTCATATCCTTCTTCTTAGGACCCCACTTATTTGAATCCCTACCATCAAATTTGTTCTCTTCCTCATTTTTCTTTAGACCTCTACCTACCATAATCCCAAATATACCCTCACCAAACAAATTTTTGGTCATTTTTTAAAAGGCAACCTCAGCCTCAACTCCAGCGACTCCTCCTATAGTCCTCATCCTCCATTGGAGACCCTCATTCAACCCTCATCCCTCATCGGCAGTCAAGCATCACCATCCCATCCCTCATCGATCCACCTCCTATGTCTTATTCTTTTTCTTCTTGTACCCTAAATCTCTCTCCCTTTATCGATCCACCACCGCAACCATCACCACTGCCGTAACCACCCCCTTCTGCACCCATCATGTCCATCAACAGTGAAGAATGACGATGACTCCCTCACTCACACCCTTCCCATCATTGACGGTGAAAAAGATTTGTGGGCTTCTACTCCCTATCTTGCAGTCAGTGAATTTGTTTGAATTGGTTTGATGGTTTGTTTGTTTGCTATGTTGGTTTGTTTGTTACAATGACTAATGAATAAACTAGGTCTTTATGTTCAGAACTAAGTAACCGAACAAATCCTTTATGTTCAACACTATGTTACCAAACCAAAAAGATTCATTCAAAACTGTGTTACCGAATATTCAGGATTTGCTCATCATTGTGTTGCCAAACCTATTATGCTATCGTCAACTCTCCATCCATTGCGAGAGCGAGAGAGCGAGAGACGTATGAAAACCTAGGGATTTTAGAAGAAGACCAAAAAAGAAAAAATGAGAAGAGGAAGACAAGGGTGACGAAGAAGGGTTGTGTTGCTACGGTTGGCGAAGAGGGCTGGGTGCTGGTTTCGAAGGCTGTTAGTGGGAGTGGAAATGATGGTGGGTTGGTTGTCGGAGGGCGGGTTGGTCGTCGGAGGGTGTTTGCAAGAGTGGAAGTAGTGGTGGGATTGGGGTTAGGGCTAAACTTGGGAGGATAGAAATGAGGACAAAATTGAAAATTTATATTAGGATAAAATTATAATAAACTAAAGTAAAAAAATGAAATGTCCAAAATAAAAAGATAGAAACATTTAGAAGTTGCTTGGGATGCGCCATATAAGTGCACTTTTTGATTTTTTGGTTAAAAACGTAGAGAAAAAAAAGATATATGTTTGGGATAACTTTTTGATTTTTTACAGAAAAATATGTAATAAAATATTGTAGATGCAAAGTACACTGATCTGCAGCACTGTGCCGGGGTATGCATTTCAATTTTTTTTTTATAATGGGAATTGGTGGCTTGCATTGTGCCACGTGGTATGACTTGGAAAATGTAGTGCAAAATACACTAAAGCTGCACTGTTGGACTGACTAATTCAAAGAGCAAAATTACGATTTTGCCCTCTAGCTTCCCCCTTACACTTCTTCTAAATCGAATAAGTTTTTTGAATTTTTAACTTTCATAGTGCATACGGAACAAGCACTTAGCAACCCCTCAAAAATAATGAATCGAATCATCCAAAATACAACACATAGTAGGCCCACGAGCCTCAACTAGACCGGGCCCCGTCCACGTAGTGTACTTTTTGAGACAGGAATCTCTCTTCTTCTAGGCGGGAAAAGGAATAGTAGTGTAACATGGTAGAAGCAAATTAATTCTGTGGGGACATAATTTTTGAATGACAACACGTGGCCGAGGTGTCACCGAAGTGCGAGCCGAGATGCCACGTGTCCTGGTCATGACGTCGAGATCATCTCAGCTAGGCCGAGGTTATCTGCGAAGATACCGGAATTCGGGATAAGCAGATAAGGGACAAGAGTTCTAGAATGAGAAATGACTTCAGTTTGGGTAAAGATAAGACTTTTAGAGAGTTTATCCAAATCCTACTGGGAGTCCAAGATTAGCAATAATCCTAAGTCCATTGAAGCTAGGCTTCTATTGGGACTAGATTTGTGTTGGCTATAAAAGAGAGGCACCGTCATGGGTCTAAGGTATACTTTTTATGCTCTGAATAGTGAGTTAAACACTTTTGCTATCTTTGAGAGATAACTGACTTGATCGTCGGAGTACTCCCAGGTGGACGAACCACCGCCGGAATCTCTTTTTTTTGTGACAGGTCGTTCGGGCTTAATCTATTCTACCAGTGTTCTCCAGCTAAGTGCTTGAGTAACAGTGTGGTCGGAAATTGACACACACAATTTGGCACCGTCTGTGGGAAAGAAGGGAGAATAGATAGCCAACGACAGACAGAAAGAGAATGTTGGAGACGACACCCCTACTGAAAGTGGGAAACATATTGACCTTTACGTGGAAGAAGACAAATGTAACGAAGAGACTCGTGATAAGAATCACGGAGGAAAGGACGTCGGCCAGGAGGGCGGCGTACCGAAGAAATCGGACCGGAGCGGGTATTATAACGAGGACGACCTTCATGTATGGAAAGATAGATGCCTGCGGAGGGATGACGAGATGAAGGGAATGGCGGACATATTGGCGGACCTGCAAACGGCCGTCAATTTCATGATGCAGAACAACGTCATGTAGCCACCATTCCTACTGCAAGATACGTCGATTCCAGCGGCCAAGAAAGATGTCCAGAAAGGGGGGCAGAAAATGGTTCCTGCAGTCCCTCAGCATGGTAGGACCAAGAGACATTCTCACCGGCCTTCACGGGAGGTCGGGCATGGAGAATCCCAGAAGACACGTTGAACAAAAGAAACCTGCACCAAAGAACATTGGGATGTTTAGAGGAAGGAACTCTGTTTCGACATGACCAATGGAGAGAGGTCCAAAAGGACTCACAATGACACTGGAAGTAGTGCACCAAAGAGGCTGAAATCCGGAGATAGTCGAGCTCCTGGACAAACCAAGGAGGATATGGGGGATTACCTCCAGAGAAAGCGACAAGATGCCGAGGTGACCTCTTCGGTGAAGCCGAGGACACCGTTCTCGATAGAGTTGGACAAATTTGAGGCCTCGAAAAGGTTCCACATGCCAAGATTCCAGATATACGACGGTAAGTCAAACCCGAACTTTCACGTCGGCTTGTACCTGAACTCGATGGCATTATACACCAGGAACGAGCCGTTGCTCTGCAAGGTGTTTCCCTCGTCCTTTGGAGAAATTGCATCAGACTGGTTTCACAAGTTGCCGAAAGGAACTGTGAAAACCTGGGAGGTCCTGGCCGAGATATTTGTGACTAGGTTTGTGACGAACAAACTACAACCGTTGAGGGCAGACTCCGTGATGCCCCTGAGAATCAGTGAGGATGAAAGCGTTAGGGCTTATGCCAAGAGGTATTATGAAGTGTTCAACTGAATACCAGGATGCAACCAAGAGGTGGCGGTCGTGTCCTTTAAGAACGGCCTAAAAGATGACTGTCTGCTTCAAAAATCACTGGCAAAGACACTGCCAAAGAGCATGGAGGAACTCATGGTCAGAATTGAGAAGTATACAAGGGCCGAGGAAGACACGCGGGGGCAGAGGGCTGGAGAATGATGATTGGGAGTTGGAATTTACAAGCTAAGATTAGTTTAACACTTGTTGAAATTTAAATTTACAAGTTGAAGTTAAACTGAGGATGTGTTTAACACTTGTTGAAATTTAAATTTACAAGTTGAAGTTAAACTGAGGATGTGTTTAACACTTGTTGAAATTTAAATTTACAAGTTGAAGTTAAACTGAGGATGTGTTTAACACTTGTTGAAATTTAAATTTACAAGTTGAAGTTAAACTGAGGATGTGTTTAACACTTGTTGAAATTTAAATTTACAAGTTGAAGTTAAACTGAGGATGTGTTTAACACTTGTTGAAATTTAAATTTACAAGTTGAAGTTCCGAGGTAATAGAACCTAGGGAGCAGTTGTGGGGACATAATTTTTGAATGACAACACGTGGCTAAGGTGTCACCGAAGTGTCAGCCGAGATGCCACGTGTCCTGGTCATGACGTCGAGATCATCTCGGCTAAGCCGAGGTTATCTGCGAAGATACCGGAATCTGGGATAAGCGGATAAGGGATAAGAATCCTAGAATGAGAGAGGACTTCAGTTTGGGTAAAGATAAGACTCTTAGAGAGTTTATCCCAATCCTACTAGGAGTCCAAGATTAGCAGTAATCCTAAGTCCATTGAAGCTAGGCTTCTATTGGGATGATGTTTGTGCTGGCTATAAAAGAGAGGTACCCTCATGGGTCTAAGGTATGCTTTTATGCTTTGAATAGTGAGTTTAGCACTTTTGCTATCTTTGAGAGATAACTGACTTGATCGTCGGAGTGCCCCCGAGTGGATGAACCACCGCCGGAATCTCTTCTTTTTGTGACAGGTCGTTCGGCCTTAATCTATTCTATCAGTATTCTCTAACTAAGTGCTTGATTAACATTTTGGTCGAAAATTGACACACATAAATTCTTAAAACAAAAATTCTTTATTATATGTCCCTTGTTTTCTTCGAGCTTTTGTATCATAACTCGTGACAATATATGATTTTCTTTTTTTCTTTATAAATTTTGCTTGTAATTATAAGCATACATTAAATAGTGAGAATAAAAAACGAGATTGAGACACAAAACAATAAAAAAACTAAACATCAAATTTTCCCTGTCCTTAACATTTTGTAATGTTATTCTCCCTCCCTTATTGTACAGACAAAATTTTTTATTTTTTTTTATATTTAAAATTTCTATTGTGTTAAAATTACAACAAATTTTTTGTAAAATTATATTAAAGTATTT